AAAATCGGAAAACCCTGGCTATCTTGGTTTCTATAGAGTTCAGAAGCTAAGATATAACAAGTTTATTATTTGATTGCCAATCCCCAAACTTAGAAAAGGATTTATCCGGTTCCTTTTTAGTTCCATCCAAATATTCCGACATTTGCCTCCGATATAGAGATCAATGACAGTGGACCAATAAAAGTAGTTTGATCTATTAATCCGTTTAGATGTTAATTTTAAATTGGAATTAGGGCCTTGAATTACATTATCCAGGCTATTCCCAATTTCAGAAATGATGAAAAAAAAAGGAAAGAAAGAAGAGATAGAACGATCTTACTCCCCTTGAAGATGTTACAGCACAATATGGAATAGGAAGGCCTTCTTTTTTTTAGCATCATAGTTTGAAGATCCCTCTAATAACTCAATACTGTCTCTTCAAGGAAGAACGCCATGAATATCTTCAAGAAGAAACCCTCGGCCAAAGATGCTCGGAATATGTCCCTTGGAAAATAACGCTCATTTTCCAAATAGAAAGATGCAATGCCCAAAAAGAAGAAAAAATATCCTATGTTTTTTCTGGGTCCCTACTGATTATGCAGACACGATGAAACTCAAAAAATGGTTCTCTCTTGTATTCTAAATGTCAAAAAGAAAAAATGAAGATTAGGAATTTTACGTGGTTCGGCATTGGGCTTACATCTACGAAAAAATTGTACTTTATTTCTTGTCATGCCTTTTCTAAGTACAATCATACATATATATATAGCCATGGCTATTACAACTCAATCATACTATAATGAGAAGGCAAAGAAAGAGGAAACTGTGGAGAATAAGAAAGAAAGCAATAGGGACAGCAAGGAATAGCCCAAGCCAGCCCAACTACTTTCCATATCTTTCAACAAATCTACTTCTCTTTTTCTTCTCTCTCTACAGTGCTTGGTCTAAAGAGTAAGTCAAGTGCAAATAGAACCCTAGATAGCTTGATCTTTCCCTAAAAAATAATTATTTACTGCAGGAAAATGAGACCAAAAGGAGATCTTTTATACTTCTTCGTCTTCTTCTTCATGGTAAAGCTTTCCACGAAGAAAGGAAAATCTTTGGTGTCTAGAACATTTTTCTTTATAGAAGCTTCTCTTTTCTCCTTCTTCTTCTTCTTCTTCATGGAAAGTTTTTCACGCCTAGAACATATTTATCGTATAAAAGCTTCACTTATTACTGTACTTTGAACGACACACTCACTTCAAACTTGTCAGGGTTTTCTCAAACATCGCATTGAGTGCTCATTGTTTTTAACGTTTATTATTATTATTATTATGTAATGTGGGTTATCAAAGAAGGACTCGTGTGATCTAGTCGAAGTATATAATAATTTTTTTAAAAAAAATCTTTTTCTTTTCTTCACGGCCTAAATTACTCACAAGTAGTCTTTTTATATTATAATAACTTCAAATAAAAAAAAAATAAAAGAATACAATAAGCTCTCAAAAACTTAAAGCTATTCAAAAATCATTCTTTTAATAACAAAAAAAAAACACAACCTATGTTTGGAAATAAAAAACATAATAAATAAATGAGTAATGATACTATGAGATCCTCCCACACCCATGTGAGTAGGACCTCAAAGGATCACCATTGCGGTGTGATCAACCAAGCTGGTTAAAACAACTCTCTTTCCTAGAGAAGCTGACTTGCAAAAGAGAGAGAGAGGGAGAGAGAGTAGGTTTGAGAACCTTAATTGGCTCTAGGGATCTGGAACAAAGATGATAACGTATGCTCAAGTGGTCTCTAAATCATGCCCTAATGCCGGTGTGAATTGTGGTTTTAAATCACATATTTGCGGACGGGGTTCCATCTTTGCGAATTGCAGATAAAATATGTAGGGCATGCAGAAAAGTTTTATCATTTTGGGATCTTTTTCTCCGCCTTTATCAGATCTGTTTGGTTTTGATAATTGGATCTCAAATGTATGACATCTTTTTGCAAAACCTAGTTGTAAGCTGTTTTTAATTTTTCTAGATGGTTAAGATGATAGTGATAACATTTTGAGGAATATGCACTGGAGATATATAGAGGCAAGCTTTTAACAATTCAAGACTGGTCGGACACCACGAATTTTTTGAAAATCTATCCTGAAAAGTGTTGGATTAATGTGGAAGGTCTACTGATCCATGCTTAGAACTTTGAGGTTCTCAAACAAATTGCTGAATTATGTGGGAAATTTATAGAAATTGATTGCAATTATGCGAGTGGAAGTAATATTGGTTTGATTCATTTACGAATTGAGAAAATTTATGCTAGAGTAATCCCAAATCGAGTTATTGTAATAGTAGACAACTATGTCTTCATGGTGAAAATTAAACATGAGGATGGTAGGATAGCTCATGATCATCATCCGGTGAAGGTGACTATGATAAAAAACGTAAATGAATGGCAATTTTGGTTTGATGGAGATTATAAGAAGGTTCATCAATGGCAGAGGCCTGCAAGAGCATGCCAGAAAGAGGGTTTCAGTCAAAGGAGATGGGATACATGGTCTAGGAAGAGCAAGGATAGGTGGATGAATCACGAATGTGGATTTCAAAATAATGTGAACATGGGTAAAATGGTTTGGCAAGTTAAAAAGAATGGTGTGCATGGACAAGTGTTGGGTAATCAAAAGAGGAAAAATAAGTTAAGACACACCTCCAAATTTTATCATAAGATGTAATTTTGGCATAAAAGATTCTTAAGATGAAAGGAAAACTATTTTCATCTCAAACTATAAAATTTTAAACTCTAAAAATGCTTCAAATCAAGTAGATCTATA